TCCAGTCTGTTTGTTAAGAGGCCAATCACTGAATGCAAACTACATGGTGAGTCTAACTTGGGGAATAGTAGGAACATTCCCTGAGACTCCGTGTTTCTCAGTTCCGTGAGCTCGCTTCTGACATGAAAGCAATCCAGATAATTGTACCTAGCCCGTACACAGCAACTGATGTGTTCAGAGCAGTGCACAGACCTTATCCTCCCAACATCCCTGCAAAGGTATGTTCATATTATCCACTTTCTACAGAAAGGGAAAATGAGGCAGAGAGAAGTTAAGCAACTCACCCCAGGTCATCGAGCAAGTCAATGTCAGAGCAATGGTTATAACTCAGGAGTGCCTGTCTTCTCCCTGCCTGGAGCTCTTTCCTCTAGCCTATGCTAGCAATCAAGAAACCTTTAAATCACATGGGGGGGAACCATTCCAGGACACCTGCACTGTCCCATGTCATTTTCCAGTAGCAACGTCTTCTCCTTTGGGCTTACAGTGTGGAGTGCAGTGTCTTTGTCCCGTGCCCTTGCTGTTGAGTGGGATGTTCTGCTCAGTCTGGGGGATGCTGAAGGCAAGGAATAATCGTGCATGAGAATCAGGGGCTCCCCGGAGCCAAAAGGCCTTGAGGAGACCTGTGCCTGCGAAGGCACTTGACAAACCGGATACCAATATTGCAGCTTAGGGACCTGGATGCATTCCCTTCTCTCTCTACAGTTTCTCTGCTGCCGGTGCTAGACCAGCTCTGCAGAGGAGAGAGGTTATTGACACAGGTAACAAAACTGTTGCTGTAGAAATGGAGCTGTCTTGGGTTTGAGCTTCTTTCCTTTGGCACTATACTTAGCACAGTTGGGTTAGTTCCACCCGCTTCCCGCCCCTGAACGTACTGCCGAAGTTAACAATGTGGGTAAACAGAGCAAAGCGCAGGGCCAAAGGGCTGGATCCCTAGTGACTGAAAAGTCTCTGAGTAAGGCAGGTAACCCTGACTCTCCCCCAATTCTGGATATGTCTACACTGCAAAGAAAAACCCGCAGCACCACCACGTCTCAGAGTCTGGGTCAATTGACTCGAGCTTGTGGGGCTAAAAATAGCCGTGTAGACATTCCTGCTCGGAGTGGAGCCTGGGCTCTGAAACCCGGCGGAGGGGGAGAGTCTTGCAGCCCAAGCAAGAATGTCTACATGGCTATTTTTAGCCCTACAGTCTGAGCGCTGTGGGCCAGCGTCAATTGACTCAGGCTCTGAGTCTCAGTTCTGCAGGCTTTTCTTCGCAGTATAGACATACCCCATGTGAACTGGTTGGCAATTTCCTTTGGCCTGCACAGAGTTACCGCAGCCTGGTTCTCCCCTGCCCTGCTGCTTGTGGTGTGACTCAGCCTGTGTGAAGTATGTGTAAAACACAACCAAACTGGAAAGGGTGCCTTTGACATGTGCTTGACACACAGGTAGGAAAGACTGCACAGAGTGCAGGACACTGAGGAAGCACACCCATTAGCTTCCATCCCAGTTAAGATGGATGAGCTCCTGGTGACCCACTCTGACCAGACCTGCTGCAGAGAGAGCCCCTTCCGGCATGTGGGGGTCATGCTCTGTTCAGAGAATCCATCCTGAGTTTACACCAGCTTGTGGCGAGGACCCTCTGATTTTAGCCAGAGAAATCCAAGGTTTCAGCTTCAGCCAGAGGGCTGTGGGCTGCGTCCAGCCAGGCCCAGGAGGATCCGTGAGCATTTGTGGCTGATTATGCCACACCCATTGGCAGAGTGACAGAGCAGCCAGATTTGCAGTGTCATCTGCATACAAAGGAAGAAGAAGTAACTTTACATAGGAACATCCCTGAGTCTCAGGAGCCGGTTTGGGAAAGACCAATGTCGACAGCAAGAGAACAGGCCACATACACGCAGGGAAATGCGTGAGGGAGGGTGTGATTCCTGCACAGATCTGTGCCCTTTCCCCAGGACACGGAGAGGGCTGTTCCCCAAACTGCAGTGGGATTAGAGCGGCCTTGTCCTACTGTTACCTCTTGCTGGTTAATGGTATATCAGCATTTGGAAGGGAATGATTCAGCGTGCTCGGAATACAAAGCCGGGTCCCAGCAGCTTGCACACTGCTGGGTCACACTGCTGTAGATGTGCTGTCGTCTAGCCTGGTTAGACTTGCAAAAGCTAATCATTAAGTCTGGCAGTAACTAGAGCAAGACAATTAAAGGAGCACAAATGCACAGGGCTCCAGAGGCAGGTCGCAGACTCATGTCAGGTGATGTTTAATTACCCACCTCCTCTCTTCTTTCCTCATATCATAGGGTTCTTCTGCAAACAGCTTGGGATGGAGCCACACCCTCATTAACCTTGATGTGGGGTGTCTTGGTGGTGGTGTTTTTTTTTAAAGGGGCACTGCTGTATTTGTACAGGAGAATGGACAGGCCAATGTCCCAGATGCAGACCCTAAGCCTAAACCTGCTAAGTCTTCATTTCTACCAGGATGGGTGGTTTGGGGCTAGATTTGACTCACCCATTTCTGTCTTTCACAGGTGCCAAAGAGTGGTAGTTTGCCCCCAGCCACAGAGATTACAAAGCCCCCCATTGCACCCCAAACCCAGGAGAAGAAACCACAGGTGGCCTACAAAACTGAGATCATTGGAGGGGTGGTTGTGCACACACCTATCTCTGTCAATCAGGTAAGCTGGGCGTGTCTGCGTTGCATTGCCTTAGCGGAGTATGCCTGTGGCTTTGCAGATCTGCAGCTTGTGCTAGCAGAGAATGTTCTGAAATGTGCATTCAATTGGGAGGAACCAGAATGTGCCATGTGAGGATGGCAGCATGGGCAACCTCTGGGATAAAAATCCAGATCAGTCAGGCAGCCCCCCCAAAATCATGAGCTTAAAAATCATCAAAGTTTAAAAACAAATTTTAGGTGCCTATTCTTTGCCCCCTGATTTCTGAGCCTTAGGGTTCTGTTGGTTCTCATTTTGCAGCTTTTTCTCTGCAACCAGGAGGGCTAGAAACTTTTTTCTTTACTTTTTATAAAAGAAAGCTGAGATTCTCGTGAGTCCAGGAATCTGGGGCTATAAGAAAAGCGCCAAGTACTGCAAGTCTCATGATAAAATCACAAGAGTTGGCAATTCAGGGATGGTGAATAGAAACGATCTGTAGTTTAACTTTCGCTCCTTGCCTTTCTGTCTCCAAGCACTGGAAATGAAATACTCTTGGTACCAGCACAATGCTCTGGGACTCTAGCCTCTCACTGGCTCGAAGGAGCAATTCTTGAGGGATGTAAGGGGGAAAAGCTGGCAGTTCTCTGCACACTTAGCAGGGTAATGAAATTTATACCACATTCTGCTCTTTGATTTTCCTGTATTTAACTGTTGGGGAGTCTTCCAGCCGTGTGCTTGACCCATGTCTGTGCCATTGAATGGGTCTCTGCTTCATCGTTTTTACGTCCTAGGTTCAGCCTCTAATCATTTCTCTACCAGACATAACAGAGATCTATGGAACAACTGTGTGTGATTAACATGGTATGAGGGATAAACAGTCTTGGGATGAAATGCAGGGTCCATGCTGCTTAGCTAGCATATGTTTGAGCAGGAAATGCAATATGCCTGCTTATTTCCTCTGTCCAATTCCTTACTAATACAATCAGCAAAGCTCTGCGGTAAACCAGGCCAACAAACATTGCATCAGTTTTCTTCTACAAGCTGTTCCCATCCTGCCTTTTGCATTCTGAAACAGTTAAACAGAACAAACGCTACTCAGGTGTGTAGTTAACATCAACAAATTATACCTGGATCTCTACTTTTTAAGTGAAGAATATTACCCGTCATCTACCAGAGGTGGGAAACCCGCATTTATTATTGTTGTTCGTTTTTGTTTAAGTGCCCGTCTGAGCCCCTGAACTATGAAGCCATACAGTGAGTGGAGGAATATCTTTTAATACACAGAGACAACCGACTCTGCGAGCTAGGCCGCTCTGCATAGTAACTCACACGTTACAACAGTAAAGCTTGTGCGTGAGGCCTGCAACAAATAACCCCCCACTAGAACCCCAACTGCCCCCACTCCGTCGCAGCGTTTCTCCCAGGAAATGGGTGGATCTTGCAGCAAGTCCTAAGGCTAATAAATCTGGTTTCCGGGGTCCGGGTTCCTTCACAAAAAACACCTTCCCTCTTAAACCAGGGGACTGTCAGCACAAGTGCCTCGCCACATTGCAGCTGCTCTGAGCCCAAACCATTTAGGTCTTTATAGGCCAAGAACACCTTAAATCCCACCTGGAAACTGATAGGCAGCTGGGGCAGATTCTGAAGCAACCGTGTCACGTGAGCTGCATGTAGTGCGGCTAGGCAGGCAGGCATATGTCAGGGAATGTAATCTGGTCATTGGCAGATACCCAGAGCCCTCCCGGGGTGTGGTAAAACCTCTTGCTTTCCTTGGACGGGGGCACACAGAGCAGACTGTGACACAGGAAATTGGTGGCAGGGCTGATGTCTCAACACCTAGATACTATGGTGACCGTTGTTCCAGAAACGCCTCAGGGAGATGGGTTTAGCTGAAAGGTGTGACCAGAAAGTCCCTTATTGGCTACGTGTCTAAGCAGCCTCAGTAACACAGCCGAGATCAGCAGTTCTTCACACTGAGCTTGAATGGCAGGTGCTTCAGACAGTACCCAACTGGGGACTTTGGGCTGCATGGGCCTAAATCACACCCCTTTGGTCTGCTTGCCATCTCTCTCGCACACGTGTGTCTGGGGAGCTGCACGCTCTGGTGCAAGCCAGTAACTTTTTCACCCAGAATTTCAGCGATGAGGCAGAACTTGGTGCTAAATCGGAGGCATTTCCAGTGACTGAACTTCAGTGTGATTGTTGGGGGAGGATCTTGAATGCAGTTGCTTTGGTTTACCCCATTATGTGACATCTGCTGCCTGGGGAATCTGTCTGGAACCTACCTCTGAGGTTTAGGCTCTAAGCAGTCTGGGTGAGAGGCAGGAGGCTGTCTGACCTTCTCTGAAGTAACACAGTCTGATTACACACTTCTCCTATTGGTGGAATTGATTTGCACTTTCAGTTCAGGAAACCAGGTCTGTGCCTGTGAAACCTTCCCACTCAGGGTTTATAAATAGCTGCACACAGCACTTCTCTCTGGCTCCAAAGTGCAGTGAGCCAAAAGGGGTTTATGGAGCCACATGCAAAGCTGCAAACTGCCTCAGCTTTCATGCCCCTTAGCTGTGGCCTGATCTCTGTCTCAATTCCCCACGGCCTAGGGAAGGTCTGAGCCAGTTCCACTAGCCCCAGTGGCTGCTCCCCGGAACAGCAGCTGGGAGATGCCACAGGAGGAGACCTCCCTTTCTCCAGTAGTCCGAGTCTCCCTTTCCCTGGACGCACGGGAGGGGCATGTGCATGACCATCGGCAACTTCCACCTTTTGGTGTTTTGACAGCCTAATTTCAGCTCTTATCAGTCACAGGCCTAAAAATAGAATGGAGAATTAGGTCACTGCGGTGTTCTCCTTGGCAGGCGTTTTTAACTCTTCCCTGGCCATACAGATGTGCACATGTGCAGAATTGGGCCTGACTGGAGCATAGGCATTGCCAGGGCTGGATCAGACCCATGATTCATCTAGACCAGTAGCCTGTCTCTGATAGTGGCCAGCACCAGCTCCTTCAGCAGGAGGTGCAAGAGACCTGACGGGGTGATCATGGGATAATCTCCTTGTGGGAGGAGTTTCGTCCTGACCCCTGTCACTAAGAGGTTGGGTCGTTCCCTGAAGCGGGGTTTAATAGCCATCTTTTTAATCCTAACTCAATGTGTATGTTCTTATTATCAGGGCCGCCCAGAGGATTCAGGGGGCCTGGGGCAAAGCAATTTCGGGGGGCCCTTCCATAAAAAAAAGTTGCAATACTATAGTAACATGTATTTGGAAATGTAAAAAATAACCAGTGAAATACATTCAAAAATTAATTTGTAATAATTTGAAAATACACGAAATACATTATTTAAAAACATTAAATGCTTTAATGGTATGTATACATTTGCAATTACATAATGGGCTGTCGCTGGGTAATGGTGATGGTTGGTGCCAATGG